AAGAATAGTGAGGATGTTCCCTCTTCTGTTACTTAAAAAAAAAGTTTGATGGCAGCAAATCTCCCCACCCTATCACTGTTAGAGGCCTAATTTTATATCTATAAATATATTAAAAAGCAAGTCAAACTTGGCTGTATGATGTTAAAATTACTGTCAAAGTTTAAATACCTATATATTCTCAATGACTACAATAAAAGGACTTAAAGGAGAGAGTGAAAATAATGATGTGGACGTGACACCTGGGGTCAATGTACCCTCTCTGTATGGCCATTAGAGGTTGGGGTTTACTCCTTAGGTTTTAGGAGGCTCAAGAATGGAAGGATCCTCAACTTTGCCCTTCCTTCCTTTCTTGCCATGGTTTCAGGGTTCGGGAAATGGGAAATTGCTTTCAGCTCTTTGCCTCAGATCTACCTCTCCTTAAGTCTTGTGGATGTTCCCAGGAAGGTTCTTCTAACCAGAAACTGGCTTGTCTTTAAAGCTTGACCGAACTTTGACTTCAGGAAAGATCTTGCCACTGCAGGCTATCTCTTTTAATATAGTGTGTGACAGAAAACACTCACTCTGAACCTTTAGCCGCTTGATTCTTTACGCCATCCAACCCCATACCAGCTTCCTTCCTAATAATAGAAGAGTATATATAGGAGACGACCTGTCGGATTTGACTTTATACCTTTTCCATCTCTTAATATCTAAGGATTGATTAAGATAGCTGGGCCTTGGACACCTGTCTTATCACTGATCACTGAATATGAAAGTCTCAAATGAATTCTTGCCCTTAAATGCTTTTGCTATTTCTTTGCGCCCCAATCAGGAATGCTGCATTCTAGGACAGTCAGATTCTATTAGAACAGGCAAGGTAGGAAGGGAAGAGTAAAAGGACGGGATTCCCTGACACATCTTCTTCCTGCCCCTTTTCCTAGCAGCTTTCATACCATATGTTAGCTGCTGTAGTTCCTTTCTGAGGTGGGGAATGTGGCATCCGAATGGTCTGTGCTCCTATTGCAAATGGGGTGATGGAATGGGCTAAAAACCATGCACTCTGGAATTTGTTGTATATTTTCTTTTAGTAAAGCTTCCCACCCACCCACCCCCGACTGCTGCTCTGTGTGATATGTAAGCCATTCACTTGTGATGGGCTAATTTTGCTCCTTCTAACATAGGTACCTGGCTCTGCCCTTATTGTGGTGTTAGGAAGCCCAGTCTGAGATAGCCATGTTTCCAGTCTTGGACTCCAACTGGAGACTGCTACATGTGGAATAGGCCCCATAGCTCAGTGATATATAGAAGATCGGGGACTGGAAAGGTACTATTAGGAGTATTTTCCTGGCTTCTCTTCAGGCTGTAGTGAGGGATTTGGAGGTAAATATTGCTCCCCCGACCCCTTCCTAGTTATCCAAAATCCTGATCATAAAAATTCTAGAATAAGTCAGGTACATTTACAGTCAATCACCTTTATTCCAGGGTTAGAACAAGGCCGTGCACATCACACGCAGGAGCACAGGACGGAGCAGTCTCACAGCAGTACAGGGGTGGGAGGGCAGATTAGTCTTTTTAGATTATTTTGCCTTACAGAGAAATTACTAGACTGCTAAAAATGACTCTGTCTTCCTTCTCCCATCTCATCCTCTCCTCTCTTCAAAGGAAGGCTCCCTATTCTCATTCATGTTCTCTCTCTCTCTTGCTCTTTCATATCCTGACTGGAAAGACAATTCATTTCCCCCTCCCAATTCTATAAGTATCTCTCCTTGAGGGAGAAGCCAGACAGGGTTGGGGGAACTTGGGGAGGTCCTTTAAGGCAAAACTGGAGAACTCGAGGTGCATGTGTTAAGGCAGGTGTCCGCAGCAGTGGCCAGAGGGGACAGACAGGCTGGGCTAGGGTAGGAGTAGAGGGTGCTCTCCAACCAGTCTGGCTTCTTCCTTCTTCCATCAACCAGCCCTCCCCTCCGACTAGAGTTTTGCTCCCACATCCTAAAAGCCCCTAACTTGAACTTTCTCTGAATAGTGTCTTGAGATTGCATGTGAATTTAAAGTTTAAAAGTTTTCTTTTTGTTTTGACTATGTAGCAATTTGACTCTGCCACTGTGGCATTCCCCCTCCCACCTCCACCCTGGCCTGGACAATAAGTTAATGCTAGACACCACAAAAAAGGGCAGACATGGCAGTGCGGGTTTAATATACATATATGTAGAATATATATGTACACACAGTTAGCACGGTCAGGATAGGGAAGGGCATCCTGGAACAGGCAGGAGGCTGGGGTCACTGTACTCTAGCGATCTGTCTCAGAGGCGATCACAAGCCCAAGTCGCCAGAGTATTGGGAGAGTGTTATCAAGTCCCCTACTGGATTGAGCTGGGGATCGGTGCAAAGGAAACACTAGTTAACTTCTTCCCTTCTTTCGAGCTTGCAGTGTTCTAGACCAGGGAGGAAGGGAAGGTTGCCTACAAAACCACACCAGGACCCTGTAGATGGGGGCAGAATTGGAGTTAAATCCTAGGAATCTCATTCCCCAACCTCCCTAGGTCAGTATGTGCAACAGTCTGAGTAGGAATAAAGGAGTGGAAAAGGGGCTCCCTCTCTGTCCCTCAGCCCCAGCTTGCTAAGTGGGGCATTCTCTCAGCAGTCTCTCCAGGGCAGAGGTGGGCGGAGGGTTACCTAAAGATGGGTGCTCAGTGGAGTTTGAACTTTGGGGCCAGGAAAGAATCCAGTGGTCTTCTGTCATTAGATCCCTGGCTTATACCCAGCCTAGGCCCCTAAGAGGGGTACAGTGTGGGTTACCGACAGTGAACTCTGGCTTTTCTTTGCTCCTCCCCGGTGGCGGTTGGGTAGCCTCTTCACCTTCCCTCCCACTGCTCTTTGTTAGATCCACTTACCTCTCCTGTACCTCACCCCCACCTCAGCTGCTCAGTGTAGGAAAATGCAGGTCCTTTCTGCTCCTACACTTGAGAGATGTTGGGGAGAGTGGAGGAAGGGGCAATAGGAGGAATATGCCCATTTCTGTATGCATAGAAGTAGCCCCTACCTCCCCCTAGAGTGGGGAAACAGTCCCCCCAAGCCTCTGACCCCCAGCCCCTCACGAGGAAGAGGAGCTAAATGAGCTAGACATGTAGACAGACAGCCAGAGCGTGCGCACACGCACACACACGCGCACAGTAAGGGGGTTAGGACCAGGTTAGTAGGTGGGTAGATTTAGGGGGGAGGGTTGCCCTTGCCCCCTTCCCTGCAGGATGGGAGAAGGGAGTGGTCCAATGAAGGTCCGACCTTCCTCCTCTTCCTCCCCCTTGCTCAGGCTTTCTTCGGTGGAGGAGCCAATTTGATGATCTCTTCCTCAGAGGGCTGCCGGATAATGTCTGGGGGCAAAAAGGATGTGTCCAGGGACAGAAGTTGAAGATACCAGGCAGGCCCACTGAACATCAGCGTTCATGCTCCCAGAATTCAAGCACTACAAGGATCATCCCTGGGAGGGGGCAGAGGTGCGCAGTAAAGGCATGGCCTCTTACCTTTGTACTTCTTGGCACTGGGGATACGGGTTAGCTTGGTGTCCAGCTCATCCTCCTCGGAGATCTTCAGAACACGGGTTCTGTAGTCAACCACCATAGTAAGCAGGTCAGGACGGCGAGAGATCTCAAAGATGTGCTCAATGTAGGAGAGGTGGTCTGGAGCAAGGCGGGAGACTGATGGTCAGAGCGAAGCTGCAGAGGTCAGCTTCCCCCATTCTCCCAAACCAGGCTTTTGGAACCAAGGCTGAGTTGCCCGCATTGGTTATTGGGGCAACACTGGAAGAAGAGAGCCTACTAAGCCAAGAAAAGAATGTTACGACATCAAAAAACAGTACAGAGGACTGTTCCATGAAGGGCAGACCATCGATCAGTGGTTTCTAGATTATGGGGTTAGCATGAGGTTTAGCAACCCTTCCTGCTAAATCTACCCAATTCTGACATTGGGGGCAAGGCAGAATTAGAATTAACTGGACTTCAAAATATCCACCTCACCCACCCTGTCCCTCTTCTACTTTTCCTCCAAGTAAGTATTAGAATTTCCTGATAGCACAGGTGGGACTTGGAGTGGTGGAATCTCTAGGCAACCTGGAGAGCTGCTGGGCCTGGTGAGAAAGGTAATTACATATCGGAGAAGGCACGGCCATGATCACAGGATGATCTCCATTGCTTGACCAGTTCTAGGAGATTGCAGGTACCCTTGGACCTTCTTCCCTGGCCTCTCTCTGACTGCTGCAGTAGTCTTCACCTCAGCCTTCCTCCCTGTTATAGTCAGATTCATGTCTCTGAAGGAACCTCTGGTCACTTCACCTATCAAATATCCTATCATGCAAGGCCCTTCATAGCAAGCCTTAAGTTACCTTTCTAGGCACTTCTAAACATACCCTGTGCTCCAGCAAGCTAGGCAGGACCTCTTGCTTTTCCGAAGACGCCAGGTACTCCTCCACCTCTGTGACTGTGGTCCTTGGCTGGGCATGCCCTTCTTTGGATCCTGCCTCTGAAATCTCACTTGCCTTTTAGGCCATTTTACATACCAATTCTTCCATAAAGCCCCTCCCACAGCAGTGGTCTCTAAAAGTGAATAAGAAAACCTTCCAACTTGTGGTTTTATTTTAAATCTATCACTTTTAACTTCTACTTTAGTGTTTTATTATATATGTGCTAATAGCACAATCATATCTGAATAACATTTTTTACCGACAAGTGACACATTGAAGAATGTAAAGACCACGGCCCTAGAGCCCCTCCAGTGGTTAGAGCATCCCTCTTCTCCTGCCTTGTTGAAGAGGAGTGCATGTTGTAGGTACAGGAGCTCTGAGCTCATTCCTATTTGCTGAATGCACTGAGCCCTGACAATGGTTGCTGGCAGGATGCCTTTGTTCTCCCCCACCTTTGTCCAGCTTGTTGTGGCTCTCCAGGAAGCTAAACCAAGCACTGCCTGTTGTGATCTCCTCACTCTTCTCACTGGGGATGTCCTCCTTGCAGGCTGATTTGAGCTGCTCCAGATCTTCAAGAGTGATGTTGTTGGTCAGATCCTGGAGGAGGGTCCCGTACTCGGCCATGACTGGGGTTAAGAGGAACAGAGGGAGAGGAGACTGAGCTTGAGGTTTGGGATCTGGTTCACTCACTGGCACTTCCTACCCCCTACGCTACCAGGCAAGTGCCTATAACATGCCAGTTGGGGAGGGCCAGTGCTAGAAGGAGAAAAGACTGAAGGGAGGTGGGAGTAGGAAGGAAGATATTTGGAAGCTAGGGACCAGGCTGGAGCCTAGAGTGACAAGTCACACCTCCTTCCCCCATCATTTTCCTTCATCTCCCCCCCGCACCACACACACCGCCATAGTAACCCTGGCAACAACTTTCCTGACTGAGGAGGCAGTTACCATAACAACCAGCTCCAGACTTTCTCACCCACTGCCTCCAAGTTCCCCCCAGAATTGCCTCACCCACCTGCAACGCCCCACCATCAAAAAAAAAAAAAAAAAAAAAAAATCTCCATGTCTTCCATACAATGTGATTAAATTTAAAAAAATAAGTAAGTTATACATGAGTATGTATTTTGTCTTGGATGTTTGTCAGAGAAACTAAACGCCCCCCAAAAAAAAAAAAAAAAAAAAAAAAAAAAAACCACTCCAAAACAACCACAGGGAGAGGCTTGCTGTGGCAGTGAGAAGCTAAAAAGAGGGGGCTAGAGGGGATTGATTAGATCTCATGTGTTCTAGCTTCCATTCTTCCACAGAAGCAAAGGGGTCTCACTTCAACTCCCCTCCACCCCATGAATGACTAATTCTGGATGGATGCCTAGTTGCTTGGTCTAATGGCCCCCTGGCCCCTCTATGCTCAGCCTTGTATTCAGTCCTGTGGCAGTGAGAAGCTAAAAAGAGGGGGCTAGAGGGGATTGATTAGATCTCATGTGTTCTAGCTTCCATTCTTCCACAGAAGCAAAGGGGTCTCACTTCAACTCCCCTCCACCCCATGAATGACTAATTCTGGATGGATGCCTAGTTGCTTGGTCTAATGGCCCCCTGGCCCCTCTATGCTCAGCCTTGTATTCAGTCATTAGGGCTCAGGGGTGAGGGCAAGGAGTGGCGAAAGCAATGAGCCACCCCCACCTTTGCGAAGCCCATTTTCTCCCTTGATTGCTGCTGGGCCTCCACACAGCCCTCTCTCCTAGCCTTTGTGCTGTGCTTGCAGCCCCCGCGCCCAAGAATACCAAGCGGCTGCCTCTGGCCCCCTGCCCAGTTCCCAGACTGGCTGGGTGGCAGGGGTTTTGATACAGCTTTGGGAGAGTCTGGCAGGATAGGGGCTGCCACTCCTGCTTGCATCAACATCTGGCTGGCACTACCCTCAGCATGACCTCCCAAACGGGGCTGAGCAAGGCTAGATCTCACCTAGGTCTTTTCCCTACCCCTCTTTCATGAAGATCCTTGGGTGAAAGGTAGAGAACATTCAAGGCCCTCCTTCCTCTCACTACGGGAAGAACTGTGGCTAAGACAGGAAGGTCAGACCTTAGAATGAAATTTCTGGATTTGATAAAATGTGAAACTCTAGTGGTGAGTTTAAAAAGGGGGCTTTTTTTTCTCACAATGAGTATTTTGTAATCAGAAAAGTAAAGCATTTTAAAAAGTAAATTGTTATAAACACTCTGATTAGACCAAGGGGTGAGACAAGGAGCTAGATGACCTTGTACTTAACTGAGACTGCCCACAAATCATCCCAACAATGGGCTGAGAATGGGGCAGATAGAAGGAGGCTGGTTGACACCCCCGTTTCCTTTATTTCTGGCCTATAAGCAGGGAAACTGAGGCAGAGAAGCATGGTATAATAAGAGGCATGGAACCAGAAGTCCCCATTCCCAGCCCCCTACTAGGACCAGAACAAAGACGCTTCCCTTGGTGGCAGGCACTGTGACACAAACAATGAGCCAGGCAGCAGGGCCAGCACGACCCCCACAAGAAACAGGCACTTACAGACACGCTCACTTGCACATCCAGGTGCAAACAAGGGCCCAGCGGTGGCCCCGCCAGGCTGGCCCAGGAACAATGCTCTCTGACTGTCAGCACCAGGAACCGTCTCTGCCTTGAAATCTAGGTCACAGCAGCAGGCTCTGGAGCCCAGCTGCCCCCTCCACTGATAATCCGAGGACAGAAAGGGGCAGTGCAGAGAGGAGGACAATAATGGAGGCGGGAGTATGAGAAGCACTGAAAAGGAAAGGACAGCACTGGAAGGAGGCAAGATGCCTCCGTGAAGACCCAGCCCCAATGAAAGAGACCCTAGGACCAAGTCCTCAGCTGGAAAATGGGACAGAATTTAGGGTTATTCTGCCCTGCTTTCATATGAAAGAGTTTGTAAAAGGACAGATCTAGTGGGTGGGGAGGAGAGAGTGAGAGGGAAGGAAGGGTGGGGAGAGAGAGAGAGAGAATGTGTGTGTGTATCTCCTGGGAGGAGTTATGATTTAGGGCTCTGAATCTAAAACAGATTTACAGGGGAGGTGGGAGGGAAGGGATTAATACGTGTGAGACTCACCCACACAGGCTGGGGGGTGGTGCGTAGGAGCTTTCTAAGAGTGAAACAGATACAAGGAGGCCTCTAAAAGGGAGGGTGGGCATGTTAAAGTGGCAGGGAGAAGGAAGCATGTGCTAGGGTTCCACTGATGCTCACCCCTGGGTGTGGGCACAGGCATGGGAGGAGGCAAGGCTTGTTCAGTGGGTGTGTGGGTATACTAGCAATGGATGTGTGTGTGCTAGCACTGGGTAACGTGTGGCTGTGAGTGTATGCAGTCTGTGTGTATGTGTCTGAACCAGCTGAGAATATGTGTAAGAAGGTAGATAACCACAGGTTCACAAGGAAGGGTGAGGGGATCCTATGGAATTGAGGAAGAGCTGGGGTTGAGAGAGGGAAATAGGCTGCAAATGAGGAATGGAGGAGGGGGGCAGGGAGCAGAGTCCAGGAGAAGGCTACCACCTCAACTCAGTGGTTACCGTGGCAACCTCTGTTCTGGGTGCTCCCACCTCAGTCCTTGGGACGATATCACTGGAAGGGAGGGTGTGGGGAGTTGTAAGAAAGGAGAGAAAGCAAGGGTAAGGCCTTTGAAGGAGCATGTACAGGCCCCTGGGTTGCCTCCCTCCCCAGAGAGCCCATTTGCCCAGGCTTTGGTGAGGCAGCAGAGGAAAGAGCAGGACAGTTCTGGGGGAATTTTGGGGGTACAAGGAGGTGGAATCTCCTTACATAGCTCTCAAGTCTCGCTGATCATGGTTCCAGGAATGTTCTGGCCATGCTGGGGCTTGACAGAAGTTTGGCTCCTTCACCCTCCATGTCACTTTCCTCACTGAGAATCAGATTCCCTGGGGCCTATGGAGCAGTCTCCAGCCCTCCTAGCTCTGAAGAGTCCTCCTGATCTCTAGAGCAGTGCAGAGGCTGCCCATGGAAACACCAGGCAGCCTGGGTGGAGGCCATTCCTGGGACAGGATACCAGGGCAGGAACCGGGAACCGGAGCTGAGGCTGCCAGGAAGTCAGCCCCTTCCCTCCCAGATCATTCTGTTCTCTGCTCGCGTGGCTTCCTATACCTTCCTTCCTTCCTTCCTTCCTTCCTTCCTTCCTTCCTCCCTTTCCTTCCTACAGGGCCCCAGGTGAAGCCCTTTCAAAGGTCCAACCAACTTAGGACATTGAGGCAGAGGGGCATGGCGTAAAGACCATTATACACTAGGCTGTAGGGGAGGAGTTGGGAGTATGATAGGTGCTCCGTGGGCACTGGGGGAGGAAAGAGCAGACCCTGGGGGGCACTCTGAGAAGCCTAGTAAAATGGGATACTCACCTGTGGAGGAGGTGGCATCACCAAAGTATTTGTGTATTTTGACATTAATTCATGATTATCCCCTCTCACTAGCATTTGCTTCCAAATCTTCAATATATTTAAGAAAGCCTGAGGATTAGGAGCTGCTCCCCACCCCCACCCTCCACATCTGCTGCAGCTGCCATCAGCTATGGAGAGGGCCTATCCCACACAGCTGCAAGGGCCTGGAGATCCCCGCAGTGGGCAGCAGTGGGCAGGAGGGGGCTTGTGGGCACTCAAGTCTGTCAGTCCTGTGTGTGTATGTGTTGTGAGGTGGGGCAGTGGTAATCAAAGAGAAGCAGAGGGGTGGGAAGGGAGAACACAGGCTTCTATTTTAAATTTTATCTGGGCCCGAAATTCAAGCAGTCCTGTAGTTCATCCCTAATTATTCCATTAATATGATACTCAACTGACTTCTTCCCTTAGCTTCTATTCAGCTTTTTTTCTTTTTTTGAAAGTGGGGGTGGGGGGGTGGTCTTTATTCCTGCAACCAAGAAAAATAAGGCTCTAAGATTCTACAGTCAGTGAGAGTGAGGGGAAGCAGGATACCTGAGTCTCAGGATGTTCAGTTCAGTCCAAGAAGCAAAATGGGTCATCCTTGGGCACAGGGACAATGCAAAGCCCTTAGTCTAAGAGAAGAAAGACCAGACCAAGATGGGGCCATCAAGAGATACTTAGCATTGGACCAGGCAGGACAGAGGGGCCACCTGATGGTGAGGAGCGGGTGGAGCCTGTGCTGTTCTCCCCTTATCTGGTAGTGTGTCTCCCTACTCCTGTTTCTCTTCTGTCTCTTCCTCAACCATTTCCTCTCTCCCTAGTCTCTCAGTCTCTTCCTCCTTTCCTTTCAATGGGCTTTCATCCTACCTCACTTGGTGGTAGTCATGGATACTGAGGACTCCTGGGTTCTGTGACTCAGTGTCCGCATCTGAACACCAGCCTGTTAGGAAGGAGTGAGCTTGCCTGCTGTAGAGAAAGTCTGTGAGGAGGAGCCTGGATTGGCTGGCTGCATACAAGTTGGTGATGTCCCCATTGCACTGTGTGTGTGAGAGACTGAGGGGATGGCATGGCAGGTCATGACTCTGCGGCTCTCCATGCCTGATAATACATTACCCTTGATGGACACAGGTGTCATGGAAGTGAGGACGTAGGCAACAGGGGCAATTGGCAGCCTAGGGCATCTCTGGCAATTTCCCCAATACAGTGTTTAACCACAAAGGGAAAAGCAATTAAAGCTAATCGCTCTGACAGCCTAGGGGCAGACACTGCAGTAGAGAAAACACACAGATTCAGCATGTTTCCCCTTAACTCCCTGTGGCCTCACTCCCATCCCGCTTCCCGTCCTCTCTGCTTTCTGACCCTCTGTTGTCCATTCCCCAGCACTCATCCCATTCCTCTGACCAGCTCTGTCTTTCACTTCCTCTCCCTATTTCCTGATTGTATCTCTGTCCCTCTCACACACATTCCCCTCATTCTCTCTGACTTGGGCTCCATCCTTGGCTGACTCATACTCATTCTTTCTTTTTCTCCCTCTCCTTTGCTTCTACTCCTCCCCTCCTCCATCCGCTGGCCACTCTGATGCCCAGAAACCAGCCACTCCCAGCAACCTAAGCTCTAACTGGACCCAGCAAGACTGGCCAGCAGCAGGCCCTACTCTCCCTGCTCACCCAGTTTCACAGCACCAGGCTCACTCACACTCACCATCCCGTCTCCCTGTCCTGAAGTGAGACCAGGATTCTCTCCCATCTTTCCCCCAATGTTTTAAAGAGAGGCAATCTGGGAGAAGATGCCCAGAAAATTAGGGTGGACTTGCGGACAATGGCCCCCATTCTGCTGTCCTGTTAAGATTGATGTTCTTCCAGGAGACTTGCGAGTGGGGTGAGGTGGGGGTAGGATGTGTATGTAGTGCAGGGACGTTTGTGATCTGCTGTGTGCAAGGAGTCACATGGGTGTGTGTCACCGTGTGTGCTGGCGTGTCTCTTGTTGGTGTGTGTCCCTGTCAGTTTTGACAAAGATTATATGAAATTAATTAGGGGTTTTACGTTAGCTACTTCAGTTCTCTACACCCCCAGCTCCTTCCTTCCCTCCGGACACGCTGTCGCCAATCCCACCTCTTCCCAGGTGCAGAGGGGGCAGGGTGGGGGCTCATGGTGCCAGCGGCGCTGCCAGAGGGCTGAAGCGGACTGGGACAGGAGAGAGGCCACCCCCGAGACAAGTCCGCAGCCAGAGGAGGGGAGGCGGTGGGAGCTGGCTGCCAAGCCGGCTGGGCGGGAAGCAGGCCCGTCCGACTCCCAAAGCTGGCCAGCGGGGACTGGTTGGCCGGAGCCGCGTCGCCTCTGGCACATGCTCCGGGCGCCCCGCCGGGGTCGAAGCCGGGGGGCCTGACCCCGCGGACCCGCCCGGGGCCCCACGCTCCCCGCCTGCCCGGGCGTCCCGACACACACCCCTCCAAACCAGACGCGAAATCGGCTCCCTCCCCGCGACTCGCCCCTGTGCGCCCTCTCACCGCCTCGGGGCTGAGTGCGCAGGGCACGGGCACTCCGGCGTCCCCGGTTTCTGAGCAGCGTCCGGA